TATCCTCCTATTGAAATTACCACGGAGATCCATCCATCCTCTCAAGTTAGTATGGCGTTTTCTCTTTTTTTTGCAGTTATTTTTGACTAAAAATAACTTTAAAGGATGTAGTCATTCGTTTTCTGAGAATACTGTACGCAACGGAAATTCTAAAACTTCTTTCACTGAATAATTTTTTGATTTGACCATGCGCATAAGGATTCCATTATTTTAAGACTGGAGTTCGGGATGGAAGTTTACTATTAGTGGACAAAGTTGAGCGGGAAAGAGGAGAAAGTGTTGCCGAATTTAGTATTGGTAATGCTCATCATGATTGGAATTCAGCAGCTGAAAGAAACTATGACTTTAGCACAGTAAGTTTGGCATACTTAGATCTGTTACTTAGGTGTTATTGTTTTCAAACAAAGCAAAAATTAAATGATGGCCTGAAATTATCCAGAATGCAGTAACATGGCATCTGCTCAACACTAAATCGAAAAAGCTTTCAATTAGTAACAGCCATATTCCACGAAAAATTTTTTGCTCAAGAAATTATTTTGCTTCTTTCCACAAATGTACCGCAAAATGAAGTCCAGATTCCAATGAATAGTTATTGTTTAAGGATCGTGATTTGGAATCTGCAATGAGCGATTTGACAGCAGAAGACGATATTTACGATAAGAAAACCTCTGTGAAACGTATGCATGATTACGAGCCAGGTGTTGATGGTAGTACTGAACGTTATCGGACTGAAATGACCACAACAACTTTATCTAAAGGTTTTTCAAAGCATTAATCGTTGAGAGATATAAATTTTTATTATTGTTACCTAAGGTCTGTTCTCCAAAAGAACACAACTGATGTGTAAAAGAAGCACCATGAATAGAAAAATAATAATCATTATCAAATTTTTTTGCCCATACTGTTATCATTTTTCCGATTTTTATATTAATTAAGGATTGCAGATCGCATTTTTCATATTTGATTGACTTGCTGCTTTTCTTTGTCACGGGATTGCATTTAGTTTATGCTGCGAAAATTTTTGCACTACTATGATTAATTTTTGATTACCTAGAATTTATCTCATATTTCTACTAAATATAGTGACTCATCTTTTTTACGTATATCTCCTGTAAATATCATTGCTAGGGTTGCTTGTATCAAACTTTCGATTTATATAAGGGATCCTTTGAGAAATTTGTAAAAATGCTAAGAAGCCAACAGTTCTCGGGACATTAACAGAGAAAAAATAGGTTATATTATATATATGCAGCTTAATTTGATTTTAGGTTAGACTTAGAGGTTGTTGTCCATTGAATATTAACAATGGAAATTCACAAGTTGCAGCTATGTTTTGCATATTTAATAGTGCTCAGAGAATTGCATTATTTACACAGGCAATTATTTATCCCACATAATGCTCATTTATGTGATGATTTTATTTCTTTTCATGTGGAGAAGTTTACTTAAAAAAATAAATTTTTTTGGAGCGTTTTCTAACCTGTTATATGTTTAGGCTTTGTAGAAACCCTTCTCGATTTAGAGGGTTCTTTGTTTAATAGGGAAGGGGTAAAAACAGGAAGAAACAGCTACAAAATAATTAATTTTCTGAAATGACAATGTTATATTCACAAGTCTTCTTGCATTGTTTTCTGCGGATGCATGTTGTTACAAAAAATATCAAAACAGTCTTTTTTGATAAAATGAGTCCCATTAGTGTAGTATTGTTATCATATAAAACGGTGTCTTTTTTGACTTGAATAAAAAGAGGTTCAAGCACTTTTGAACAGAATGATGCATCTTCGAACTTATTACATCAGAAATGAAACTGAAAACTTACACTGATATTATAATACCGAAATAAATTTCTAATAATGCAGTAGACTTCAACGCTTAAAATATATATTTGAACTGAAGATCAACTAACACATGCCTTTGTACACAAAATGAGTTCAGACGACGTATCCTTTCAAATGAAACTAGTGATCTACTGAACTAGTACGACTTCATAAATCATTAATGACCAGTCATTTTCGACATAAATGCCATTTTTGACACAATAATGGGCCGTCAGCTTCCGGCATTATATGCCGGCGACTAACGACCTAACATGCGTATGACAACTTGATTCCAAATGAACATGACCGAAAACTTTGTGTTAATACGACTTCAAATGATATAGAAGCGATAAGCGTCCCATTTGCATGACGAAAACAAACAAACGATAAGCTGGCAATTGACATAGCATGGAGGTTGATGGCCTACACTTGGACTTACGGCTAAAGACAAAGCACGAGATTGGACTGACTGCCAGTTGTCGGCATAGAATCTGGCTTAGTACTATACAGTGTGTTTCAAAATATTAAAATGCGTTGAAAAATATCATAATGTCATTTTTTGTGTAGAACTTTTCATGTACTGTTGCTATATTTGAATATTAAATCAAAAAAAAATGAGTTGGAAAATACAATGAGAAGATTTGTTTGGGTCACCGATGCTTTTTTTGTGCACAAAGTCCACACAATAAATGCATTTATTTTACAACAAATAAAATATATCACATTTTAAGTTTTGCATTTTTGTGTAGAACTTTTCACATACTATTGCTGTATTTGAATATTAAATCAAAAAAAATGAGTTGGAATAATAATTATTATTATTATTATAATTATAAATTATTAATATTATTGTTATAATCATTGTACTTATAATTATAATAATAATTATTATAACAATAATAATGCTTACAATGATTATTCGATTTCAGTGGTGCTGTTATTATTATCATTAAACTTAAATCAGAATCATAGAACTTCTTTTGTTTCGAATTGTAAAAAATATTCAGAAGTTATCTATAAATATTAAGTACTTGGTATATACAAAGTGGTTACTTGAATAACCTTAGTGAAATACTTTATTCAATTCTTTATACTTGATAACGTTTATCACATCAAAAAAAAATTTTTCATTCTGTTATGAGGCTGGATGTTTTTTTGAATGTCTATTTTTGGAAGAGTCAAAGAATGATCGCGCACCATTTGGTTGCTAAAAAAGTTGTTGATCAATCGTTCATGTTCTTTGCTTTTCCAGTGGATTTGGCTGGTATATTATAGATAGAAGTGAAAAGTAAGAGACGTTTTCCAAATTTTAGTTGAAAAAGTTTGGAACTTTGAAAAAACTTAGAACCTCGAAGAAAGACTAAGACGTAAAGTAAAAAGTTCAAAAAAATCAAGCATAATGCACAATTGTGAATGTTATAAGTCAAAATTTCTGATGTATATGAAATTGCAGTCCGCATAAATCTCAGCAATTTTGATCTCTGGACTTCTAATTTTAATTTTCAAGTATAAATATATAAACAGCATTAAAAGCTTAAAGGTGGAAATGTTAAGTTTACTAATAATATTTCACATAATAATTTCAAATCAAATGCTTCAGTTACTGGCAAGTATTTATTCGAAATTTAGAAGTGAATAATATGTTTGCTTTTTAAATACTGCAAAAAATCTTTCGTTTTTTCGTGAAATTCTTGATTCAGTAAGCAAAACTTATTTTCTTTGTTCATTAGTCTGCTATTACTATATTTCAGATATTTGTGAAATCAAAACATACGTAGAATTATTTTCTTAGTTTTTTTGAAAACCAGAAAATTTGTGTGCCAGTCAAATGATGTTGCAATTAGTCTATGAATGAACTGAATTGTGCAAGTAAATTTTGCTTTCGAGAAGTCCAACAGCTTTTTGCTAGTGCTCTGTTTGCTGTTTCTATCTCATCAATTCAGTTCAACTTCTATTTTTGTACGCATCAATTTTCAATACTATTGCCTCTTTAAAAATCATCAATACTTATGGAATGTTTGCAAAGTGTTTTAGTAAGAAACATGCAATTCCAACATCTCTTTTACTCGTTTAAGTGGAAAGTTTCATTTTCGCCTTCAGCAATAAACTGGAAAACGAAGGTTTGATATATAATGTATGTATAGATTGGTCAGGACAGGTTGAAAAGAATATATATATATATATATATATATATATA